ATACCTTTGAGATAATAGTATTTAGGCCCTAAAAACCCTATTGTTTGGGTCCTTGGACCCTTAGGGTAGTACTTCAAATTCCCACCTGAAGCCTAAACCCTGAATCCTAAACCCTAAACCCTAAATCCTAAACCCTAAATCCTAAACCCTCACTATATAATACTTCAAGGGCCCCAGGAGTTGCAAAATTCCTGTGCCAACTTGTAGAGCCTTGACCCACCCGAAGCGCTAAACAATTGACTCCTAGGGAACATTCCTCCATTCCCTATCCGAAGCCTTAAGCCCTATACTATACGGATACACTCTCCCATACCCCACTAGGCACCAGATAATCCTTTCTTTAGGGATCCAAGTATACAAATAGCGCCTACATTGGGCCCTGAAGTATGTGAGTATCGCCTACATTGGGCTATTTGGATCCCTAAGCCCTGAGCCATTAAACCCTAGACCCTAAAGCTTTATGGGCATTTAGGGGCATTTGGATCCTTGGAGTTTGCCACAGGCCTCAGGCGGCTTGCAGACGTGCTCCGGCTTGATAGTAGTAGTATCCACGACCTTCAGTGCTTGTTTAGAGGTTTTGGGTTCCTCAGTAGCCCATAAGAATGCGGGTATCCTTTTTCCTCATGTTCAGCTTTCAAAGGAGACCCCCCAAAAAAAAGGGAGAAAGGGTACTATTGCTGATAGCAGTATCCACGACCTTCAGAGCTTGTTTAGACCCTAACTGAGGGTCCAAGTGCCTAAGCAGTATGTAATGAGGGGTTTAGGGTCGAGGGTGTAGCCCTAAAGGTGCAAGTGCTCAAATGGTAGATAATTTGGGCCCAAATGGGTCCCTATATGGGTACGTTGTGCCCAGATTATCTTTGCATGTAGAGATTTGCCATCTGTCGGCTTAAGTTAGGAGAGGGGAAGTACATGAGCAACCAGGCCTGTGGGGGTTGGGATTTCAAGTTTCGGGAGTAGCCTGTTGAGGCTTGTTCTATTTGATGCACGACGCACCCTCACAGCCCTGGACCAGTACAGTGCCACTGCAAGTACAGGCCCATGAGCAAGCGAATTTAGGGTTTAGGGTTTAGGGTAATGACCCTGCTCTGAGGTAAGGGCTCACATACCAGAATTGAAGGCCTATATCCCGATGTATCTCCTGTACAATCAGTACCAGGACTTGAATGACTGTCGATACTACAAACCCGGCATGACTTTTAGGTACCCTAGGCCCTAAACCTGGAAATTTAGGCCTAGTATTGGGGTTATATAAGGTTATATAGGGATATATAATATAGAGTTATATAGGCCGAATATTGGGGTTATGTAGGGTTATATCGTGATACTACAGTAAACTAGAGGAATGAAGGATCTTTCATATCAACAATCGGACCCTCCCAAAATTCATATTGGACACAGGGGGTGCAGATCTCCACCCTGAACCCTGAACCTTAAGCCCTGAACCCTAGACCCTAGACCCTAAGCCCTAAACCCTGAACCCTAAGCCCTCAACCTAAAACCCTAAACCATGAATCCTAAACCGTGAGCCCTAAATCGCCGAACCCTAAGCCCTAAAGCCTAAGCCCTAAAACCCTAAACCCAAAGCCCTAAACCCCAAACCCCAAGCCCCAAGCCGTAAACCTTAAGCCCAAACCCTCTCTGAGCTTCAGACTCCCATGGTCAGAGCAGGCTTCAGCAGCTTGTCCATAATGTCCTCATTAGGGTTTATGGTCTGAGGTTTGGGGTGGTCTGGGGTTTGGGGGTTCAAGGCTTGGGGCTAGGGGTTTAGGGCTTAGGGTTTGGTGTTTGGGGCTTGGGGTCTTGTGGGGTTGCTGAACAGAATTCTGACCTTATCTTGGGGCTTGCGAAATTCAGGATCCCTGTTTAGGTATTGTGAAGAACGGACTTGGTTGGGCAAAGCAGTAGTTTTGGAATTGCAGGGTCTTGGGTCAGAGTTACTTTAGGGATGGAGGTCTTCATGTTTGGGAACTCGTCAAAGAGGGTGTAGGGTTTAGGGCTTCTTCAAGTTTTACTGTACGTACACCCATGAAAGGAAACATGATGTAGTGAGGGAAACTAAGGGAGCCTCTACGGGCGGTGCCCGACAGTCGTGTAAGGGCCTAATTCACTTACTGCTGCCCAAATTCCATCAATCCTTCCTACTTCGGGCCGTGAAGTCTGCAAATGTGGTCCACGTTGGGTTATTTCAAGGCCTAGGAGGTACCCACAATTTTTCACTTCTTCGAGCTTCCAAATTACAAGTCGGCCTTACCTGAAACCCCAAAGTATGCGATATCAGGCTCCCAAACCACCCAAAAACAGCCCAAAACGGTTATACGTCTACATACTGTAGGGGTCGAGGTACCCTCGGCAAGCTTCCGAGGCATTAGTTTCGAAATCTCACTAGCTGCATTACCTCAGATAGAACCTTTCAGTTCACGATCCCGTGCATCCATGGCCCGCACTCCTAGGCACCAAAGCCTAAATTGAGTAGTGTTTTTTTGGTGGTTAAGCCTAGTAAGATTATATTCCTTATAGAAAATGCTATAACCCCAAAAGGAGGATATAATCTTACTCTATATTGGGTACCATAATATCCCCAAATAAAATAATACTACTTATATCGGGATGAGAGTAGCAGTGAAGGGCGCTGGCCCCAAACAAAAGAGTTTACAAAG